TTGTGAGAGAATGCAAAGGTATTGCGAGGTAACGCAAAGGTATTGCGAGGTAACGCAAAAGTATTGCGAGATAACGCAAAGGTATTGTGAGGTAACGCAAATGTATTGCGAGGTAACGTAAAAGTATTGCGAGGTAACGCAAAGGTATTGCGAGGTAACGCAAAGGTATTGCGAGGTAACGCAAAAGAAATAAATCCCCCCATGTCCCCTCGCGGGCTCCGTAGTTTATGTTATAGTTGCACAGAAACATTTTATTTACAAATGAATTTATAAATGTCAACAAGGGAAGACCTGTCCATTCAGCCTTAAATGTTGGAGCCAGAGTCTGACCCAGAACCAGAGTCTGACCCAGAACCAGAGTCTGACCCAGAACTAGAGGAGTATGAAGACCACCAAATTGTAATTAGTAAGTCCAGACCTTATTTGTCCGTTCCATGACAAATACTGTGACATACTGTAATAGTTCAGGTAACGCAGCACCAGTGGAAACTAAAGTTCAAATTTCCTAAGCAGATTTCAAGCAGGAAAAGAAATGTATTTAACAGCTTAAAAAGTGGATTTCTGCATGATAAAATTTTCCTAATTACATATTTATTACACACGGCTGCAGGTGCATTTTGAAATAAATATAAATTGACCTGTTAAGATATTTTGAGAACACAAAAAAGCATAATTATAATTGTTTCCTTGGCTGTCTATAGAAGACAGGATTCACTGAGTGAATATCATTGATAAGCTGCAGACTAATTAACGAATCAATGAGCTGACGAGCGCGACGTATTGACATGAAAAGCCTCAAACTGTGAGGGGTTTTGTCGATGAAGAGATGGTAAAGTCAATCATCTTTGTCATCTAGCCGATTTAGAATATGAATAACTAATAAAAAACAGTTAATTATCACAGAAATTTGGTATTTTTTTTGCAGTCGACTCATAAATAATTGTTTTTTTATCGAGTGCTGCTTAAAAGGAAAACRCTCCATTTTGTGTTGTTAATGACATGCGAAACCAAACTGGATTTCTGCAGCTGAGGGAAGCTTAAAACATAATGAATCTTGATCGTTTTCCAGTGAAAAGCATCAAATGAGCCTCACACACGAGTGGGCCCTTTTCTGGGCAATTTCCACAGTGTGCTCTGATGAAAGGAAGTAATCAGATTCTCAGCCCTGCTTCATTTAAAAGTATTTTTGTCTTTTCTTCAATCACAGCTATTTACGCCTGTATGAGAAAAGGGAGCGTAGGTGCACTTTAAGGCGTCACTCAGTGACAATGATGAAGTATTAAAGATGAACACAGCCTACAGGTCTCTGTCGGGGTGGGGGAAGGTGGGTGGCAYGGTGGCATTAACAGAAGACATCAGCAAATTAGAGTTTCAAACTGATGATTTTTCAGTGCATTTAAATATACATTAAGATTTMCACACCTGCGAGGAATGTAAGACGTTTGACTTTATTCTGCTAAAGAAAGACGTAGAAATTCATCACTTCTAGAGCCTGAATGTGCTGCAGGATTATAAAATCTGGAAATTATCGAGCATTCATATGTGGGAAAAGTGTCTTGAGATGATTTCAGCAAAATTAAACCAGACAACAAACTGCTCTGTTTGAGGTAAAGTTCAGGGATATATTTAGGATGTTTGGATCATCACAAACCAAATGTCATTTAGTTTCTTGGGGGGGGGAATGAGGGACTCGTACTGCAAAACATTATGTTAAATAAAATAAAAGGCTCTTTCTGTAAAGTTTTATTTGTAATRGATTATTATCTAATGCTCATTCTTCACTCAAAAGTTTGTTTCAAAGCTTCTAGGCAATTTTATGTTAACCAAACTAAATGAATGGTTGTAAAAATAAACACTGAAGACAAGTTTCTTTATAAACTTAAGACAAAAAGTCAGGAAAKTTGTGTTTGGTAGTTAATTTCTTTGTTGTGATGCAGATTTATAAGATTTATGCTTCTTAGCAATAAATCTTATAATTGGCAATTAAGTTTCCTAGACGGGTAAATGTCCTGAGGACGTAAATGTCCTAGTGGGGTTGTGTACGGGGGGATAGGTGTCCTAGGGGAGTAAGTATCTGGGGGGTTAGTGTCTGGCGGATAAATGTCCAGGGAGTAAATGTCCTATGGGAGTAAGTGTCCGGGGAGTAAATGTCCGGGGAGATAAAGGCTTATGGGAGTAAGTGTCCGGAGAGAAAGTGTCCGGGGAATAAAAGGCCTGTAGGAGTAAGTGTCCGGAGTTTATGTGTCCAGGGAGTAAATGTCCTATGGGAGTAAGTGTCCAGGGAGTAAATGGCCTATAGGAGTAAGTGTCCAGGGAGTAAATGTCCTATAGGAGTAAGTGTCCAGGGAGTAAATGTCCTATGGGAGTAAGTGTCCAGGGAGTAAATGTCCTATGGGAGTAAGTGTCCGGGGAGTAAAAAGGCCGATAGGAGTAAGTGTCCAGGGATCAAAAGGCCTATAGGAGTAAGTGTCCGGGGGTTATATGTCCAGGGAGTAAATGTCCTATGGGAGTAGTGTCCGGGGAGTAAAAGGCCTATGGGAGTAAGTGTCCAGGGAGTAAATGTCTAGGGAGTAAGTGTCCAGGGAGTAAATGTCCGGGGAATAAAAGGTCTGTATGAGTAAGTCGCCGGGGAGTAAATGTCCGGAGAGTAAATGTCTAGGGAGTAAATGTCCGGAGTGTAAATGTCTAGGGAGTAAGTGTCCGGGGAGTAAGTGTCGGGGGAGTAAAAGGCCTATGGGAGTAAGTGTCCAGGGCGTAAATGTCCTATGGGAGTAAGTCTCCGGGGAGTAAATGTCCTATGGGAGTAAGTCTCCGGGGAGTAAATGTCCGGAGAGTAAATGTCCGGGGAGTAAGTGTCCA